AGCCCTTTAAGATTTTGGAAAGTGGTCTAGGTTTGCACTTTTCCGTGGTGGGGATGCGGGATCTAGGATGGAAGTTGGGCACAAAGGGCACACAAGGTAAGGGACTGGGATGCAGGAGACGGTGTGAGGTCGAGCGGGAGTCTGAGCAAAGGAGGAGGTTTTGACCTGGGTCAGGGGATTGGGGTGTAGGGTTAGGGAGAGGGTATTGGTTAAGGAGAGGATTTTGGCCTAGGGGAGAGATTTTAGGAGGGGGGTGAAGTCTGGGAGGGAATTGTGACCTCCCAGGGGAAAGGGGGTCCAGACTGTAGAGGGTTTGGGTGGTCACCTGGGGCAAGGAAATAGGGTGCAGGATCTGAGAGGGTGTTTGGGTGCAGGAGAGAATTCTGGCCCAGGGGAGGAGTGTAGAAGGGGGTACAGAGACTGGGAGAGAGTTGTGACCTGGGGCAGGGAGGTGCAGAGGGTTTGCAAGGTGACTTTGGAGAGGGAGTTTGGATGCAGGAGGGGCAGGGTGCCAGAGGCAGGCTCTAGCTGGGATGCGCTTACGTAAGCCAGCAGCCATGCAGCACCCCAAGGCAGGCTGGGCTCCCTGCCTGTAGCAGCTTTGCTTGAAACTGCAGGCTGCTCCTTCCACATGGCTTGGGAGAGAAAAGAGATTTGCACTGCTCTCATCCCCCAGACCAATCTCTCAGCTCCTATTGGCAGGTTGTTTCCAGCCAATAGGAGCTGAGGATTGGGCTGGGGGTGGGGAGATCGCACAAATCTTTCCCCTCCCTCCAGAGTAGACAGCCCACGGACTGTGCTTTAAACGTGCAGCTACGTGCCTGAGGGTCCCGGCAGGGTGGTCCACGGGCTGGATCCTGTGGCTTGGCAGGACATATGGCCTCTGGGCCGTATTTTGCCCAGCCCTGGGTTAGACAGACATCTATCAGGGATGGTCTAGACGGTGCTTGGTCCTGCCGTGAGGGCAGGGGACGGGACTCGATGCCCTCTCGAAGTCCCTTCCAGTTCTAGTATTTTCTCTTTCATACAAGAGACAAAGGCTGTGAAAGGGAATCATAACAGAATCAGAAACAAAGTACAGGCAGTCCCCGGGTTACATGGATCCGACTTACATCGGATCCCTACTTACAAACGGGGTGAGGCAACCCCGCACTTGCTGCTTCCCCCCAGCAGACCAGGGAGACGCGAAGCTAGAGACCCCTCCCCAGCACACCAGGGAGATGCGGAGCGGCTTTTCTCAGCAGACACCTTAGCTTGAGAATAAAGGACAGAGGGAAGTGAGGTGTGGGAGAATAAAACTGAGCTCTGGAGAAATGTTTGGCTAGAGTTTCCCCTACAATATGTACCAGTTCCGACTTACATACAAATTCAACTTAAGAACCAACCTACAGTCCCTATCTTGTATGTAACCAGGGGACTGCCTGTAATCTAATCCATTTCCCAGACAAACGCTCAATTGTTGTCTCAAGTAGATTTCGTGCTCTGATGAACTGGGGGTTTCATTCACCTTGTTATGTTGTATGAGAGTTCTACTGTCCTATAGTAACCCACGTGTGTGCCTCTGTTCCCCTGGGCATTGCATCAATACCTAGGTGGGGGTGAGAATTTTGGGCGTCACTTCCACTGAGGGAGCCTCCCCACCTACAGAATGGCTGATGTCCTTTGTAACTTGGGCCCAGGAGAGGATGCGACCAGGTGACACCTTTTGCCCAGGAAGCAGGACAAAGGCCAGAGGAAGAGCCTGTCTGGGGAGCTGGGACCAGAAGCGGGTCGGTCTTGGCTGGCTTGGGAGGCAGGGGACGGGCCAGGGCCCTGGCTCTGGGCCTCCCCTCCCCCAGAGATGGATTGTACAGAATGCTTCTGGTTACTGTGCTGACATGTCTGTTCTACGTTGTATCCCTGTTGACTAATGAACCTTCCGTTCTATCTGCCGGCGGAGGAGCCGCATCTGACTGCTGCTGGAGTGCACGGCCCAGTGACCCCCAACACACCTTCAGTGACACGTCCTGCCTGGCCATCTTGCAGTCGGATCAATTTTCTGCCACCCGGAAGCAACGTGCTTCAATTTAACTCCCATAGAGATCTTGGCCTAGTGATAGCCCAAAGAGATGATCCCTCTCCCCCACATTCAGCCATCCAGCCTTTCATACTGCTCCTATAAACCAGATCAGTTGAACAAATGAGCTCTCTTCCCATATTTATATATACATCTCTAGATACAGGTAAGGCTAGGGGTCAGCTTCATGTAGCTAGTAACACAAAATGTTCTCGGGTATTTCGGCAATATCTGCTAAAAGGAATAATATGTAATTTGACATTATAGCTCTGTGCACAACCTTCCTTAACTCCCATTTGGATTCTGGGACTGGAATGTCACTATCAGTACCCGATACACTGAACATTTTGGGAACTGGCTTGCAACTGGGGGGAGTCTAAAAATAGAGGGAACAAGAAAAAAAAAGATACTGCACAGTACAAAATAGTAATTATTTATATTTTTCAAAAAGAAAAAAAGTTACCAGCTATTTTGGAACTTCTTCCCTGTAAGAAGAGTGACTAATAGAAAGGAACAGGACTGGCTCCTAGACAGTCAGCAAGTCAGGTACAAACAGTTGATAAGAATCATTAGCAACTCAGGACAGGGACCTTTGACATAGCATTCATGAACAATAAAACTTCTTTTTTTAAAAAAGGGGGAAAAATAAAGCAGGGAAAAATGCAAAAACATTTCCCACAATATCTAAAAACAGGTAACCATTGTCCTTGTCAGACAGCACACTTCAGATCAAGGATTTTCCAGTCCTAGAAAGCCAACAGATGTGTAAAGGCTGCCTTTAGTCTATTCACATCCTCCTTAGCACACAACATTTTGCTGTCCCCTTTCACTTCAACTTGTCATTCAGTAAAAAAGATTTTTTTTCAATCAACATACAAGTGCTACTAAGAGAGAAACTGATCTTCTTGTTGCTGAATGGCATTAAGGAGTTACACAAATGTCCAGTTTTTAGCACAAGTGGAAGGACTTAAATTCTTTCTTTTATATAAATACTACTGGAGCTCCCACCAGGTACTTCCTCTTCAGAATCTCGTTGGAATTTTTCTTCTTTTCCTACTCTCTCCAAAACTAAAATGTCCTCTTTGCTCCGGGAGTCTGACGATTTGTTCTGTGCTGTCAGACACAGAGCCTTTGTTTCCCCCAGTACCACTACTGGGATTGTCCGAGTGGGCTGGTGCTTAAACCGAACCCCGTAGTTACTGACTCAGCCAAGTGGAAGGGAACACAGACGATGCAGCGACAGGGATTTGTTAGGTTGAACAGCTTCTGGGCCCCAGGCCCGCCCACCCTCCCCCCTTCCCACAAGTTACTTGGTGCTGTTTTAAAAAGTCTGGGTCTCACGAAGCAGTCTCTCCCCCCACAAACAGAGTAAAAGCTCCTCAGATTGCGCTGTCTACCTGGTGGCCAAGGTCAGAGCAGCAATAGCTGCTGCTGCTTCCAGAAAAACATGGGGTTATGTGACAGGGATGGCCTTAGGATTGCTTCAGTCGCTTACGTGGTGGACCCAGGAAGGGACACTGTGCGGAGGCCAAAGAGCGATATGCTTCAGCCACCAAATGGGGATGTGATACCACCATGGACTTCCAGCCTGAGGTCTCCATGACATCAGAAGCATGACTAGAAAGAAAACAGAAAATTAAAAAAGTTTAGAGTTATTGATTTTGCTGAGTAAGCCACATTAAAACAGATTGTTTTCACATGCCCTGAGGAAGTTCTCTCTCTCGGGTACTGGAATCTCTCATTTAGTGCACATGTTTTATCACTTATAGTCTGTTCGCAAATTTTGGTCCTGTTAGTTTACCTTTTGTTTTGCATGGTCCCTTCAGCATGGTAAAATTTAATGATCAAAACATGAATGTTCTGAGGCAAGACACAATGTACCTCTCTTTCAAGAATGGGAGCGGTACTACTCTTTTCTGGGTATCCCAGCTATTCAGGGTGTGTCCAGACTACATTGCTCCATCGACAGAGTCATGTAGTCTAGACACACCCTCGGTTAACTAAATTGCCTATAAGAAGTGGGCAATAATTTTTGATGTGGGGGGGGGGAGGTGGGGAGAGGTCGACTCCAAGATTTTGGTAAGTGGTCAAGGGCAGTACTTTTCCATGGAAAGGGTGTGGGGTCTGAGACAGAGGTTGAGTGCAGAAGGGAGCTTGGGGTAGAGGATTGGGATGCAGGGGAAGATTCTGGCCTGGAGGAGAGGTGTAGGAGGAAGTGCAGGGTTTGGGAGGGAGTTGTGACCTAGGCAAGGGGTGGGGAAGGTGCAATGGGCTCAGCACAGAGAAGTTCACCAAACCCTCCAAAAAAAGAATAATCTGATCAGGTCGGACTAAACATTCCCTGTTCTACTAACATCCCTGTTGTTCCAAGGTTTAGTCCTTGGAGGCATGGATATAGCTGGGTAATTCCAGCTTTGTTCCTGGCTCAACCCATGGTCTTCCAGCTCTACTCGCATCACACAAGGACTGCAGCAGGAAGATTATTGCTTCCGATTCAAAAACCCACACTCTTTTTACTGGCTCTCCTGGCTTCCTGCCAACACTTCCTATCTCCCTAGCATTCCTGGAGACTCTCTAGGACTCACTGTCTATGAGTTTAATCCTTACAGGCAATTTAGTTAACTGAATGGCTAGGATGTTCAGAAAAGGGCAGTAAACCTCCCATTCATCACAAATCCCCATTCATGACAAGAGATAGGACTTCTCACATATGCCACGTAGCTGGGAGACAAGACAATCAGCTAGCACCACGAAAGATTTCAGACCTTGATATAGTCAAGTTTACCTAGGAAAATATCTGCTATATGAACATTTCCAAATATTAATGACATCTCTCTCCCTCTAGTGTTATTTTATATTTTAAAAGTTCCCACCCACAGAAATAGTGAGGCAGTTCAATAGTCTGCAGCACTCCTCTCCACACATCCCCTGAAGTGATCCAGAGAAAACTTATTAATTAATCCTTAGAATTAATGGCATTTTCTAGGATGCCAGAAAAATAGATTTTTATATTTCAGTATTACAGACCTGTAAGATTAAAGAAGATCGCTACCTCCACCCTCTGGATTGATCAGTCACAAGAGGACTGGGGTAAATTCAGCAGTTTGTTTTCTCCTCCAAATTTGTTTCATTCCTGACCCAAGGGTGGGACTGTAGCAAACTTACTAGTTAATGAAGTCCACAGCTTGAGTTTTTAGCTGATCAGCACTGTGTAGATCAGCCAGAATGAGAATCTCAGCTGCATTTTCCACAGATAGGTTACTGCACAGTGCATCCTCGCACATCACCTTCAAGCGTTCCAGAGCATACTGCAAAACAGAAGCCAAATTATGGTTACAATGGAGAAAGCCTTAACTTGACCTGCACTGAAGCGCTATTTGTGCTGCTTCTCCCTCCAGTAACAAAGGCTATGCTATTATACTGCACAGACTTCTCCACTTTGTTAGTTACACACACTCACAATCTGTATTCATAAGAGGCTTCTGACCAGCAAAAGTGTAGAGCTGTGCGCCCACCCTGAGCAGAAGAATGGACAGGAACCATACCCACCATAACTCTTATCCCACCTTCTTTTGTTACAGCATTACTAGCGTCGTTGTCATGCTTAAGGATGACTGGAATTCTCATTCAAAACTCTTCTCTCAGATATTTCACACCACATATTGCTGAAACCTAGTGCTTCTTTTACTCTATTGCTACATATAAAGTTCTTGTTCAGTAGACAAACCTATGTTATAATGAATGCTCCATAGGTGTTCTAACATTCCAGTAATGCTCCATAGGTGTTCTAACATTCCAGCTTTCACTTGGTTTCTTTGCCATTAATACTCAGCAAGTCAAGAACCTCGTCAAACACAAAGTACTACTTTTTAACTAAGAAGTTAAGCAGAGACCTGTTTCCTGTGGTAATCCAGATAGAAACTGAAATTATCACAGCACATCTGAAAAGCATGGGCAAAAACTCTACTCTAACTTCCATTTCTCAAACAGTTTCTGGTCATCTTGTGTTACAACAGTATCAAATAATTTGAGCCATGGGGTGTTTGGGCCAAGTGAGTAGTCAGTAGATAAACTGAAAGGGAACCCTAAGAAGAGGAGCAGCTATCAAATCTCACACACCAGTTTCTGCAGCTCTTGAATCTGTATTGAAACAATCGACAGGCAATATGATCCAGGTTTTCAAAAGCAACATGTAATCTTGGTGCTCAAGCTGATAGCTTAAAAGGAAATGATTTTTAGAAAGTGCTGAGCTTCCAACCTCCTAAATAAGATTCTTTCAAGTCTTTCAGCTGGGAACCAAAAAATGGAGGCAACTAGAATCTCTAGTCACTTTTGAAAATCTTGGTCTGTGAGATCTGATCCTGGAGATGTCTTTTGGATGAAACAAAAAATGAAGTCCTGACTCTCATGATGTCCTTCACAAGCAGAAGGCCAGATATCCCAGTGTTCTAATCAAATTCTACCTTGACTAGTTACATTCAGATTACATAAATTCCCCTAACACTTAAACATGGTAAGCTTTCGCACTTATCTTAAAATGATGTGCATCATTACTGCTGTTAAAGAGCTGCTGCTTTTCATCTGAGACATAATTATACTCCAGTGGTGGAGAGGTGATCCTAGTGAATAGTTTATAAAGCTTTTTGGAACCCTTTGGGGTGAGAAGCTATATTAATGGCAAATCCTCAGCAATATGCGAGAGATTATGTATGAACTACAACTGGACTCATGAGGTCGGTTTCATTTGCCTACAGTCACTGCAGTGCTGGTGTCTGTGTCATTTTCTTGACTTTATAAAGAGCACTGGGATACTCACAATGTGAAAGGCACTGTATAAAACTAATTTTTAGACATTCTGGTGGACTTTATTCCATTATAGATAACGTTATAATCAATGGCTTCATATGATAAGACCTGTTTCATTTATAAAACATGGTGAGAACGCTCCTTTCAGTTTGACCCATGGCACGTACAGCAAGGATAGTTTTCCCTTGCCAAAGAATCTGAGGGAGGATGGCAAGTTTTTTAGCTGAATGACCTCTATGTGAGAAAGGGAAATAGAATTTACTAGATAAATTTGTATAACTGAAAGGGGGGCAAGGAGGACTTTTTGCAAGGACTTTATAATACTCCAGTCATCTGAATAAGTGGGTTTTGCCCACGAAAGCTCATGATACCATCTACATGTTTTGTTAGTCTTTAAGGTGCGACTAGACTATTCGTTGTTTAAGTTTTTCTAGTTACAAACTAACTTGACTATCCCTCTGAAGTTTTTGCAAGCAGTTATTCCATACTGCTATCTGCTAGTAGAAGCTAAAAAACATTTCCTGTGTATACTGAATCCATTGCTTCCCCCACATACAATTTTCATTTCACTACAAGTAACAGCTCCCAATTATGTAATTGGACAAAAGTAGACATTCTGGTCTCTCGGGTACTAAGTTTTTTTTCTCTCTTTCTTAATTACACTTTTGAAAAAAACTGCCTAATAGCGTACTTACCCAAGAGACTGAAATAGTGTCTCCTGAGTTTAGAAGACATGTTTTGTTTTGTTTTTGGTCTAATTACATATTTTCCCCCAAGAGACTGGAAGAGTTCAGAAGAAGCAGTTTCAGGTCTCATGGGCAAATATTAGATGTTTTATATGCTTTCATGAAAGATTTCTGCTTCTGCTTTTCAAAAGACACACGAGGGGAGTTTAAAAGAAAAAGCGCTATTAAAAGCCAAGAAATTCAAACTTAAAGCTGACTCTGTCCTTAATATACTACTACGGATTATCTACTTTGCCTCAGTTGAAGATGGCATATGAGCTTTCAAATAAATCCTCTTTCAGCACAGAATAAAACATGTGGCAATGGTTATACTGTGTGCGAGGATCTGCTTGTATTATCCCCCTTTGTAATTCTAGTTATGCTATTACAAAGCCCTCATATAGAATGTGTCACTTCCACATCACCAATTTGGACGAGGCCCTGGTCAGTACTGGCAGGAAGTAGTTACTATTTGCTGGCTGCATGGTGGTTTGTGTGGAACACAGTTACATGCATCCACATCTTAAAATCCACCAGGCTAATTGGCACCCACAAGAGAATCCAAGGACTGAAGAAGCATGGAGACTGAACTACGCTCTCACCCCTAGAGGTGGTCCCTCCAGGTCAGAGTTGAGGCACAATGGCAGGGCAGTGTGGAGAATCTTGCACTGCTGCTACCCGTGCTGAACCTGTTTGGTGGATAAATAGAGGACTTTAGTCTCCAGTGCTGTCAAACTGGCATCTTTTACCAGCACTAAATTCACTTTTAAAAGCAAAAGAAAGGAAATAAAAATTCTGGTTATAGATTAAGAATTTCCACCAGTAAATATGACTCATAGGCCAGCAACGCATCTTCTGTCCTTGGTGCTCCAAAGGGAGGTGGACAGAGGCTGGCAGGCTATGCCACTGCAGTGCTCTTGCCAGACATGGACTACCACCAGCCCTCCAGCCAGAGTATCCCCAATACCTCCCTGTAAAGTCATAGCAGAGTTAAGGCAGTAAGCTCCCTCCAGCGCACCCATTTCTTCTCAAAATGCAGGGACTGCCACTGCAAACATTAGAGCCTCCCCACTGCTTATGTTCACAGCATTCCCGCTAGGAGTTTCCACCACCAGCCAGCCCAGAGGAAAAGCAAAGACTAAGACTAGGATTCCTGTCTGGCAAAACAGAGCACTACTTCTGAGATTCAATGCCCTGGCCACCTATTTCCAGTTCTGTCCTGAACTTGCCTCTTATCTCACATGCTAGACTACGATGAACAGAGATGAACCCTGAGTTCTAGGACAGCTTTTTAAGCGAGCATTGGGACAAGTATTTAACATGGCCATCAAGAATTTAACAGAACAAGGTGCTCTCTCTCCTCTCGCTACTTGAACTGAGGACAGAAAGCTTTGAATTAATTCCTTGTATGAGTTACACTGGCATTTCTTTCATTTTCCCTAAGCTACATAAGACTAGATTCAGTTAATAGGAGCAGTTCAACAGAACTACCCTGGTGTACTTTTCACCAAAAACCACAAGTGCATGAGTGCCCATGCATGCATGTTCATCTAAGCTCACTCAACAGTGCCTCAGTACAGTTCAAGGATCTCTGTGAAAACATCAATGCAAAAATCTCCAAGGCTCAACCATGTAAAACAAGGCATATGTCATTACCAATCCCCCAAACAACCACAAATCCCAACTGTACCTTGTCAGCAGCTGCCAGCAAATCGTCAGCCATTTTGTCAAGGTTTGGTGCCTTCCCCGTGTAAATAAAGCACATCATTTCCTTAAAAACTTCTGGCTCCACATCATTGATTTCAACCCGATTCTGTCTCAGAAGAATGAAGATTATTAAGATCCTAACATAATGCTAAACATAGATCTCTTTCTACCAGAGTTTTCTGAATTTCAAAATTATGTATACAGAGAACTCTTAAGCAACTTGTACTACTCACAAAAGCGAGTAAAAAAGTTGGTTTTATTTAATATTTTCTAATTGTCTCTATCCTACTGCTCATTCTCTCTCTCAGGTAACAAACATCAAAGATGTCTCATTGACCTTTCTTCCTCCCTCCAGGGAAGCTAAAACAGAGCCATGTGAAAAAATGCCAAAACGTTTAAAAAACAGTTTGTGTCCATGACATACATCAGCTTCTACCTCGTATTCTCAAGTCATCAAGGATATTAAGAATTAACCTGAGATCTATTCAGCCAGCTGGGAAAACTCCTCTCTTTAGTTACTTACCTTTTTACTCTCTTCCATCTCATGTTCAAACATGGCACTGAAAACTGGGGAACGTGCTATGGTGATGGGGGAAATAAAACAAATACAATTAAAATACTAGCACTCCGCCTTTATCCCCAGAGGAACTGAAGGATATAATACCCCATATCTTTCCCTCCCCAATGTTTTCTGGTATTAGACAGGAAATATTACAAGACAGCAGCAGTCACAAACTCAAAATATCATCACACCTATACACTGCCTTTGTTTAGCTCAGTGTTTCTCAACCAGTGGTACGAGTACCCTGAGGTACTCAAGTCTGGGGGGGGTGGGGGAGGTATGTCAACACAAATGAAATTTGAAGAAAACTAAATTTTTGTTTAAAGTTTTACAGCCCTTTATTATTTTTGTACTTTTCACACCCAAAAATTTCATTGCCTGCCCATCTACGATTAAGCTGTTTAAACAAATGTGTTGCAATGGTAGAAAATAATGTTGTGTGTCTGAAAACTGTAGGTACTGAGGGTACTTATAAAAAAAGTTTTTTTGGAGAAAGGGGTACTTTAAAAAATAAACAAACACACTGGTTTAGCTGACCCAGAGGCAAAGTAACTTGAAGATGTGTAAATCAGGGTTTCCTGGGGCTCTTCAGACAAGGCCAAAGACTAAATGAAGAGATCTAAGGCAATCAAAATGTATTTCATGGCACTAAGCAAGGATGCTTCTGAAAAAGCTGGCAACTTCCCTGCCCAATTGCTTTGGGGACACATTACACTGCCAATCACAAACATTTCTCCACACCCTTCTCATCTAGCAAGGAAGCAGGAAATCCTATTAATGGAGAAAACCCTCCATCCCCGCAGCAACATTATAGCAGAAAATTAGCTGCCATCGTCAAAGAATCTTCTTTCACTATAGAACTATAGTTGGCTGGGATCTGAGGCATTTTTGCTGCTATTTCCTGGAGCACTTTCCTAAAAGCAGAAGTATCTCAAAGACTTATTATGAGACCACTCCATCTGCCATACTGCTGCTGTTTCCCATCCTGTTAAGACTTTCACAAGTCAATACTGACCTGCCAGTATAGCTTTGTGAGCCTGGAATTCCTGGCCTGCAACACACAGACAGCAGTCCGTGAAGCGAGAATTCTCCCAGAGTCCTCCCAACTCATCCGCCAAGCGGCATTCAGGTACCTTCACCATGTTCATGGTGTTCTGGCCAGAGATATTGACCGAGTCCTGTACCACACTCACCTGAAAAGAAGCAACATGTTAATTTGTCTACATCAGGCTTCACTTTCCAGGACATGTGAAGGGAAATTGAGAGACCAAACCCTCATCTCCCAAATGAAAAAATGGTGGAACTAGATATATGCCCACACTGAAGAGCCATCTGTATCTGAAACAGCCTCCATCCAAGTTCTCTCCTACAAGATCCCCAACTAAAGCCACCGCCATCCAATCTGGCAAACGGTCCACCTATTCGGGACACCATTCCTGACTAGGGATGTAAAATACCATTTAATTGGCTGACTGGTTATATAGAATCATAGGACTGGAAGGGACCTTGAGAGGTCATCGAGTCCAGCCCCCTGCCCTCAAGGCAGGACCAAGCACCATCTACACCATCCCTGACAGATGTCTATCTAACCTGTTCTTAAATATCTCCAGAGAGGGAGATTCCACCACCTCCCTTGGCAATTTATTCCAATATTTGACCACCCTGACAGTTAGGAATTTTTTCCTAATGTCCAATCTAAACCTCCCCTGCTGCACTTTAAGCCCATTACTCCTTGTCCTGTCCTCAGAAACCAAGAGAAACAAATTTTCTCCTTCCTCCTTGTGACACCCTTTTAGATATTTGAAAACCACTATCATGTCCCCCCTTAATCTTCGTTTTTCCAAACTAAACAAGCCCAGTTCATGAAGCCTGGCTTCATAGGCTTCTCTAGACCTTTAATCATTCTTGTCGCTCTTCTCTGTACCCTTTCCAATTTCTCCACATCTTTCTTGAAATGTGGCGCCCAGAACTGGACACAGTACTCCAGCTGAGGCCTAACTAGTGCAGAATAGAGCGGCAGAATGACTTCACGAGTTTTGCTTACAACACACCTGTTAATACAACCTAGAATCATATTTGCTTTTTTGGCAACAGCATCACACTGTTGACTCATATTCAACTTGTGGTCCACTATGACCCCTAGATCCCTTTCCGCCATGCTCCTTCCTAGACAGTCGCTTCCCATCTTGTATGTATGGAACTGATTGTTCCTTCCTAAGTGGAGCACTCTGCATTTCTCCTTATTAAACCTCATCCTGTTTACCTCCGACCATTTCTCTAACTTGCTAAGGTCATTTTGAATTATGTCCCTATCCTCCAAAGAAGTTGCAACCCCACCCAGTTTGGTATCATCTGCAAACTTAATAAGAGTACTCTCTATCCCAATATCTACATCATTGATGAAGATATTGAACAGTACGGGTCCCAAAACAGACCCTTGAGGAACTCCACTTGTTATCCCTTTCCAGCAGGATTTAGAACCGTTAACAACAACTCTCTGACTACGGTTATCCAGCCAATTATGCACCCACCTTATCGTGGCCCTATCTAAGTTATATTTGCCTAGTTTATCAATAAGAATATCATGCGAGACCGTATCAAATGCCTTACTAAAGTCTAGGTATATGACATCCACCGCTTCTCCCTTATCCACAAGGCTCGTTATCTTATCAAAGAAAGCTATCAGATTAGTTTGGCATGACTTGTTCTTCACAAACCCATGCTGGCTATTCCCTATCACTTTATTACCTTCCAAGTGTTTGCATATGATTTCCTTAATTACCTGCTCCATTATCTTCCCTGGGACAGACGTTAAACTGACCGGTCTATAATTTCCTGGGTTGTTCTTATTCCCCTTTTTATAGATGGGCACAATATTTGCCCTTTTCCAGTCTTCTGGAATCTCCCCTGTCTGCCATGATTTTTCAAAGATCATAGCTAAAGGCTCAGATACCTCCTCTATCAGCTCCTTGAGTATCCTGGGATGCATTTCATCAGGACCTGGTGACTTGCTGACATCTAACTTTCCTAAGTGATTTTTAACTTGTTCTTTGTGTATCCTATCTTCTAAACTTACCCTCTCTCTGCTTGTATTCACTACGTTAGGCACACCTCCAGACTTCTCGGTGAAGACCGAAACAAAGAAGTCATTGAGCATCTCCGCCATTTCCAAGTTCCCTGTTACTGCTTCTCCCTCCTCACTAAGCAGTGGGCCTACCCTGTCCTTGGTCTTCCTCTTGCTTTTAATGTATTTATAAAAGGTCTTCTTGTTTCCCTTTATGCCTGTAGCTAGTTTGATCTCATTTTGTGCCTTTGCCTTTCTAATCTTGCCCCTGCATTCCCGTGTTGCTTGCCTATATTCATCCTTTGTTAGTTGTCCTAGTTTCCATTTTTTATATGACTCCTTTTTTATTTTGAGATCATGCAAGATCTCCTTGTTAAGCCAAGCTGGTCTTTTGCCATATTTTCTATCTTTCCTACACAGCGGAATTGTTTGCTTTTGGGCCCTTAACAACGTCCCTTTGAAATACTTCCAACTCTCCTCAGTTGTTTTTCCCTTCAGTCTTGCTTCCCAACCGCAGGCGGGGGGGCACTGGCTGACGTGGAACAGGCCTGTTTGCAGGGCACCAGAGCCTACCATGGGACAGAGGCTGCAGCCCCCTGCAGATGCACAAATGTCTTCTATAATCTAGCACTTGATCCGCAAAGATCTTAACAAGATCTGACGAACAAAGAGTCTGACGAACACAAGACAGCCTAATGAGCACTCTACTCTACAGGTTTTTCCACTATTGCTGTTTCTGGTTCAGTTCCAGTATTTCAATCTCTTGCAAAGTCCCTCCCCCCACACACACACACACACACTTCTTTTACACTGATACGTATCTGCAAGCAATTAGTTTCTATCTTGTGTAAGAATCATAGAACACTAGAACTGGAAGGGACCTTGCGAGGTCATCAAGTCCAGTCCCCTGCCCTCACTGCAGGACCAAGCATCATCTAGAGATCACCCCTAATAGATATCTATCCAACCTACTCTTGAATATCTCCAATGATGGAGATGCCACAACATCACTAGGCAATTTATTCCAGCGTTTCACCACCCTGAGGAAACTTTTCTTAATGTCCAACCTAAACTTCCCTTTCTGCAATTTAAGCCCATTGCTTTTTGTCCTATCATTAGAGGCCAAGGAGAACCATTTTTCTCCCTCCTCCTTTTAACACCCTTTTAGATACTTGAAAACTGCTATCATGTCCCCTCTCTGTCTTCTCTTTTCTAAACTAAAGCCCAATTCTTTCAGTCTTCCCTCAGATCATGTTCTCTAGACCTTTAATCATTCTTGTTGCTCTTCTCTGGACTTTCTACAATTTCTCCACATCTTTCTTGAAATGTGGTGCCCAGAACTGGACACAATACTCCAACTGATGACTAATCAGAGCAGAGTAGAGCAGAAGAATGACTTCTCATGTCTTGCTCACAACATTCCAGTCAATGCCTCCCAGAATCATGTTTGTTTTTTTGCAATAGCGTCACACTGTTTAGATTGTGTAGACTGTCATGTTTAGATTGTGGTCCACTATGACCCCTAGATCCCTTTCAGCAGTGCTCCTTCTTAGGCAGTCACTTCAGTTACAACTATTATTCATGAAATGATGAAGGGATTGGCGAACTCAGGAGATCTGGGATGGATCCCTGGTCACTAGCTATAATCTCAGAAATGTTACGTGGTAACCAAAAGTAGCTACCATGTGATGGGTGTGTGAAGCCTACATGAAATGAGTTGGTGATATCCAAGGATAAGATTTTGCCAGAGAAGTTCTGGATTCTGTGACTTTCAGAGACCTCAGTGACATTTTCTACTTCAGCTTGGAGCTCCCAACAGCTGCTGTGGGGGCCAGGGAGCTGTTAGTTCCCGCACCCACCATTTTTAGTAAAAGGCATAGATAAGTAACAGACCTCTGAACTTTTGTTTACTAAAAATAACGGTGACAAAATCTTCACCTTAGTGATGTCTTTCCAATTCCTAGTGGACAAGAATCCATAAAACAAATGATACCCTTTTGGCAGACTCAGACTGAGCAAAGAACAAATGGTCCATGAATATTAAATCCCCCAATCCTATAAAATGGAAGAACACTGATAGGGCAGCACAAGTAAAACTTGGATGGCTGATGCTGTAACTTTTTTTGGAGTCTATTATTCCTGGATTTAGAGAGCAATTTAACAGCAGACAGGCATGCAGATGAGATCTAGAGAGGGAAACACCACCTACACAGTCCATCCAGAGAATCTCCAAACTGATGAGCAAGTGGGGTGTGAATTGAAAGTGCTAGACAAGGACCATTATTCTCCTCCCCAACTGCATTCTCAACAAGTTGGTAGAAGGGTTCACAGTCAGAGGTGAACAAAGGAGTGGGGACACTTGAGAAAAACTAACAAAATAAAGAGGGTGCTGCTAAGACAGAGACAACTCAGCAATCTATACAGAACTGACCCTCCCCCCTCTCAAAAAACCCTACATATCACTGACAACCCCCGCACAATAGTCGCTCAACACCAAGTGTTGCTAATTCCTTAGAGAGCTTCTCTATAGGAAAGATTCTTGCTGAAGGAAAGCACAGATGCCAGCAGTAGCACCAGCACCTGTGGCCAGTAGAGAAGTGTTAGAAGAGCATATGGCACACCTATTTATGTGGTAAGAAACATACAAGCATCAGCAAAAACTAGCAGAAGTTCCCTCTCAACAACTTTGAGCTTACAAATTACATTCCCTTCCCCTCTGACATCAGCAACCTATAAATTTAAGCTTCTCCTCGTGCACAATGAATATCGACAGAACAAGCCACGGAACAGGCAACAAAAAAATGATGCCCTGTGAGAACAGGAAACAAATTCTCTTTGGGAACGCAGACACTTGGCTTAAAGATTCGGACAACATGATTTTTTTTGTTCACTGGCCATTCAGAAATTTGAAAGTTTCAGTTCATGTCAAACTGAGAACAAGGGTTGGTCACCAATGTATAGAATGGATAGAGAGAAACCCAAAAGCCAACAACAAAGATGACCAAAGTCATATGATCAAAGGCTGAAGGAACTGGGTATGTTAGGTTTGGACATGAGGAGACTAAGGGGGAGAATATGATCACCATCTTCAGATACTTGAAAGGCTGCCATAGAAAGATGGAGAAAAAGGTGTTTTCTTTTACCACAAAAGGCAGGACAAGAGATAATGAATTTGAACCAGAGAATAGCAGATTAAGATTAAATTGCAGGAAAAACTTCCTATCAGTAGGACAATAGAACAGACTGGGTAGGAAAGCTGTGGAAGCCTCGTCCCTGGAGGTTTTCAAAAGGAGGCTGGATAGCCATATGTCTTGGATGGTTTAGATGACAAATGCTGCATCTTGGCAGGAGGTGAGACTAGATGACCCTGGTGGCCCCTTCTAGCCTATGAGTCACAGAACAGGCAGAGAAGGAGCTGCTGGAGATGCTCTCCTTATAACTTTGAACCACGGACTTAAGGTATTCTCTCGACACATGGATAACCTGGGTTCAGTTCTTCCTTCTGCCTAATGGAGAAGGAATTTGTACTTGGGCTTCCCACACTGTAGGGCAATGCTCCAGCCATCGGCTATGGGATAGTCTGGTGTAGATAATTCTCAGTCTCGCCCCTTGAAGCTGTTCCACGGTGTAGAAGTAATTAAATAGTAACCGGAGCAGGAATTTGAATTTGGATCTTCCACATCTTAGGAGAGTGCCCTCACTACCAGGCTATAAATTCACACTCATTGTTTAACATGGTTCATTGACTATTCATCATCACTGATGGCAATTCATAGCCATTCATAATAATAATTAAAGGAAAGAGAAGCAAAAATTGCTAAAGCTACACAGGCCTCATGCAAGACATTTTCCCAGCCATAAAAAACACTACCCCAGATATTAAAGCATGGATCCCAACCACAACACTAATGGCTCAATACTCAGCATTAACAGATTGAATAAGTCTCTTAAAGGAGGTGTCTGCTGAGGCAAACAGATACAGTCTATAATGCTTGGAGAAAACATGCAGAGGAAAATAACCACTCTATACAACTGTAAATGAAGCATTTTTCTTTTCTTTTTTCTTTTGAGGTGGGAGATTGGGGTGGGTTTCAGCTGCTGCAGCAAAATCAAAGACTTTACCCTCATGAAAAATCATGTCCATGATACCCAGCAAAAAAGGGGGCCTGCTGTCTCTGCCTTTCAACAAAGATCACAGGTGCCAGGAACACTGAATTTCCTAAGAAGGATAAAGAGGAACAGAAGGCAGGGGTTCAAAGAGGGACACTAAAAACTAGATTAAAGACCAACATTTTCAGACCAGGATGCCAAATAAAACTATAAAATTGTATTTAGCATCCTAAATAAATACAGTTATCCTGGTCTAAAACATTTGGTTTACAAGGCTACAGTGCTTTGTAAGCCACCAAACAACAGTAGATAAGATACTGCCCACAGAAAACCCCACTTATCTCAGCGAGACTAGTTTTCTAAGGATGTCTGACTGTGTTCTAAAGAGGAGACCCTTTCCCTTTCTGAACCTCACTAGTGAGTAACGGGAATGCCCATTTCCTTATCAGAAATATTCTTGGATGCACATATTGAGGCTGAAATTTGCAGAAGTACCTTGGTGATTTAAAAGCAGAAGTTCCACTGAAAGTCGATGAAACTTTTGTTCGTAAATCGGTCAGGAACTTTTGAAAATCCCACTCAGAAAACAATACAGATAAGATTGCATAAATCTTTCGCCTTTTACTATTAGTAGGATTTTCTAAAGGCCTCAGTATTAACCTAAAAGTCTGCTCCCAATCAAGCTAATGCTCCAACTGAAGTTAATGGTAAAATGTTAGGACTTATGACAACACTGAGCATGCCTGAAGAGACCCTCCACAGAACCATAGAATCATAGAACCGGAAGAGACCTCAGAAGGTCAAGTCCAGCCCCCTGCTCTAGGCAGGACCAATCCCAACTAAATCAACTTGGCCAGGGCTTTGTCAAGCCGCAACTTAAACACCTCTAGGGATGGAGACTCCACTACTTCCCTAGGGAACCCAGCCCAGTGCTTCACTATCCTCCTAGTGAAATAGTTTTTCCTAATATCCAACCTGGACCTCTCCCACCTCAACTTGAGACCATTGCTCCTTGTTCTGCCATCTGTCACTACTGAGAACAGCCTCTCTCCATTCTCTTTGGAACCTCCCTTTAGGAAGTTGAAGGCTGCTATCAAATCCCCCCTCACTCTTCACTTCTGCAGACTAAACAGACCCAAGTCCCTCAGCTTCTCCTAATAGGTTATATGCTCCAACCCCCTAATCATTGTGGTTGCCCTCCACTGGATCCTCTTCAATGCATCCACATCATTTTTGGAGTGGGGGGGCCCAGAACTGGACACAATACTCCAGATGTGGCCTCACCAGAGCCGAATAAAGGGGAATGATGATATCTCTGGATCTGCTGGCAATGCTCCTCTTAATACAACCTAATATGCCATTAGCCTTCTTGGCTACAAGGGCGCACTGCTGACTCATATCCAGCTTCTCATCCACTGTAGCCCCCAGGTCCTTTTCTGCAAAACTACTACTTAGCTGGTTGGTCCCCAGCCTGTAACAATGCTTGGGATTCTTCCATCCCTAGTGCAGAACTTTGCACTTGTCCTTGTTGAACCTCATCAGATTTCTTGTAGCCCAATGCTCCAATTTGTCTAAGTCACTCTGGACCTTAAATCTGCCCTCAAGTGTATCTACCTTTCCCCCTAGCTTAGTGTCATCCGCAGACTTGCTGAGGGTGCAATCCATCCCCTCACCCAGATCATTAATAAAGATATTGAATAAAACCAGTCCTAGAACCGAACCTTGGGGCGCTCTACTAGAAACTGGCCGCCATCCTGACATCGAGCCGTTGATCACTACCCGCTGGGCCTGTCCTTATAGCCATCTTTCTATCCATCTTACCGTCCATTTATCCAATCCACATTCCCTTAACTTGCTGGCAAGAATATTGTGGGAGACCGTATCAAAAGCCTTGCTAAAGTCAAGGTCTATCACATCCACTGACTTTCCCATGTCCACAGAGCCAGTTACCTCATCATAGAAGCTAATCAGATTGATCAGGCACAACTTTCCCTTTGTGAATCCATGCTGACTATTCCTAATCACTTTCCTCTCTTCCAAGTGTCTCAAAATGGATTCTTTAAGGATCCCTTCCATGATTTTTCCAGGAACCGAGGTAAGACTGACCGGCCTATAGTTCCCTGGATCTTCCTCCTTCCCTTTTCTGAAGATGGGCACTACATTTGCCTTTTTCCAATCATGCGGGATTTCTCCTGACCTCCACAACTTTTCAAAGACAATGGCCAAAGGCTCCTCAATGACATTTGCCAACTCCCTCAGTACCCTCGGATGCATTAAGTCTGGACCCATGGATTTGTGTACTTTTAGCCTTTCTAAATAGTTCCTAACCTGTTCTTTACCCACCAAGGGCTGTCCATCTTCATCCCATCTTGCATCACTTGGGATGTACTCTTTGTAACTCTCTTGGAAATCATTTCTCACAAGCGAGGTCAACAGCAAAAGATTACTTGTTTGGTCTTGCAAACATAGGCTCTGGAAGAATGTGTCTTTTTATACATAGACACAAATTTCAAGCCTTTCACGATTGGACAAGGGGCTGTTCAGTGTGTTCCTGACCGATCACAAAAGTTACCACTAGGGATGTGAATGACTAGTTGACTATCAGACAAGCAAATGCTTATCAGACAGTTGACAGGCTAGTCGACTAGTCACTTCCCCCCCTTTCTGCCTCTATCAGAAAGAGGCAATTAGGGAGCGTTTCAAAGCAGCAGCACTACATGGTGCCGCCCTGAAACACCATGTGCAGCCCAGGGCCAGCTGCGGTATCCCCAGGCTGCACGCAGAGTTTCAAAGCAGCAGTGCCACGTGGAGCCAAGCGTCAGATGGGGACTCCCCTGCTGACCCCAGGCTCTGTGAGGCGCTGCTGCTTTGAAACGCCACGTGCAGCCTGACGGCGGGCTCACTGCAGCACTTTTGCCTTTGAAGTGTAGCAACAGCCGTAGTAATTTGCATTGACTATTCGATTAGTCAATCTAAATTTAACATCCCTAGTTACCACTACTGTGTCCTCTTCAGAGGAACATACTACTTATGTGACTTGTTCTTGAACTCCAAAGGCCATTCTGCATCTTTCAGTTTCAAGATATTTGTGTGCCCTTCTTGTTCCCAAATTGTTGGGGTTTTAAATTCAAATGCACTCTCATTCACAAGGGGAGCATCTGGCCAGTCTGAACACTGAATAGGTATTACACTGACATTCCTTCAGAGTATTATTCCTGCGTAACTACCAGCTGAAACATTTTCCCACAGAACTGGGCAACATTCAGTCACTAGTCCTCCCTTTGACTCAGACAGCTATCCCAGATTTTACTCTGTGAAACAATTTGTCCCCTCCATGAAGTTCTTAGGTACCCAAGCAAAGTATACATTTATCAATCAAAAACTACATATCACTCTAAAAAAAAAAATCTTTTCTACTGTAAAGAGTGATGTATGCTGGGTACATTTAGGAATCTTCAAACTGCATTTGCCCCATCACCAAATGTCTTTATTAACCCACTTACAATATCAAGTGTGTGGGACCCAAAAAACCCTACTTGATGACTATTTCAATGAGTGTCAAATCATGAGTTATCGAGGCAGAACCAGAACTGGAATGATAAGGAGTGTATGAATGTGCTTTGTTGTTGTCTTCCTCCACGGGTGACCTCAGAAACACAGCAACCAAAAATAAATGAAATGGCAATATTGTAGTCAATTACTCATTAAAAAAATCCATATAGCACTGTAAACGTAGACAACCCTCCTCCCCCACAGGAGTGCCACCTGTGACTTCTTAAAAACCAATCCTGAAAGAGAGTGACATCTCAAGCCAATAAAATTGCTACCATTTCAGTTGATGAGGAGACTTGCCTCACAGAAGAGAGTGAGTTTGTCATCTGGAAGAAGTCCATTGGCCTCATCCAAGAGAAAGTCTCTTCTAATGAACTTCTTGAATCCCCAGTCCTTGCCTTGTACAAACCGATATGCTCGCTGGCTCTCTGAAAGACAGATGTGTTGGTTCAGACAAATGCTAGTTCTGTTAGCATCAATAAACACAAGCAAGTGACTCAGCAGATAAGAGCTACACATACCCATTGCTTTTGTTTCTTCTCCTTTAGCATTGAGGATGGAGAATTTGAACTTTGCACGAACTTCACTCTTTGGACAGCTAACCAGTAATAGGTAGAGGGACAGATAATCTTTACTTTCTTCATCCAAGCCCTTAGGGTTCACACGCAAACACCTGTAGAAACATATAGTTGCATGAGATGTGAGGAACTATTTTCTGGCATAGCATTGAATAGAAGAGTGAATTTTATACAAAATGAACAGCAAATAAATTCTGCTACACTGACCACTGTCTAAGGTAAACATAACAAGAATACTGTGTGATATTTCTTCTAGATTACATTTCCTATATGAGCGCCTAAATTCATATCTTTGGACCTACCTGTCTATAAGACAATCAATTCAAAATCATGAAAGGGTTATGTACTTATTATGGAGAACATTGAAGACCATAAACTATAGAGACAGATGCTGATGTGTATGTTGCATGCACCCAAACACTGTGCCAGGGCAACAATATCTTTTCCCTGAGTGTGTATGCGCCCAGTGTGCTAAGGACATAACTGATCTCTCCTGTCTGTATATGCTGGGTATCTTCTGTAACATTTCTTACCATTTCAGTTTATCATTGGCTCCTGATGAAAAGGTTGAACTTTTGATGACCTCGCCCATTTCCTCCCGGCAGAAACTAAAGTTGTTTATGGTCCACATGTATGAAAACTTTACCACTTTAATCTGAAGATTCAAAACAAAGAAGCAATTCAGGGTCATAACTGTGCATACTGAGTGGAGTTCTAACAAATTCAAGGCCATGAAAAACAAGTCACGAACTGTGAAATCTAGTCCTCTGCTATAAAATCTGATCTTGTGTGTGCTTTTACCCTATCCTATAAAAATTACACTGCTCTATCGTGTGCATCTCAAATTGGGAGTCCTGATGCAAAAAAAAAAAAAAGTTGCAGGGAGGTCACAAGGTTATTTTGGGGGCAGCTGTGGTATTGCCACTCTCAGGGCACATCTACACTTCCAGGAAGATTGACACTCTGGAGGTCAATCTGGCGTTCAATTACCAGTGGGTCTGGTAAGGAGCCACTAAACTAAATGCTGAAGGCACCCCATCAAGCCTAGTCAACAGGAGAGTTTCTCTCGTCAATCTCCTGCTATGGGGCCACCCCAAAGGGGGAGGGGGAAAAAATAGATGCAAGGTAGATCGACTGCAGCAACACAATTCACATAGCTAGAGTTGTGCATCTTGCAGCTACTTTCTCCTTCAGTGTAGACTTGGCCTTAATTCTGTGCTGCTTTCAGAGCCAGCTGGCAGGATAGCACCCTCCTCTCAAAGCTGCACCACGTCAGCAGCAGTGCAAGAGTAAGGTTAAGAGTACCCCCCCCCACACACACACACACCCCTACAAAAAAATCTTACAATCCCCCACAATTCCTTTTTGGTTAGGACCCCTACAATAACAAGATCTGTGTAACTTTACATTGAAGAAGCTGAAAAAATGAAAATTCACTATTTTTAAAAATGTTAAAAGCCAGTTCCCCCCAGCACTGTCTCCTCGGTGCGGAGAGAGGCGGGGAAGGCAGAGGTGCAGCAGTGCAGGACCCAACAAGAGCAGGACTACTCAGTCCCAGCTTGTGCAGGGTTCCAGACCTACCCCCACTGCAGTTTAAATGTAGCAGGAGCTGGGCTGTGGCTCCTACCACATTTAAGCTGCAAAGCTGCAGAGGGACCCCTTAACAAATTGTGTAGTCGATACAAATTGTATCAACACCACAATTAGGCAATTACCCGCTTCTTAACATCCTTAATTAAGATACATTGCTCTACCTACACCTACGACTGCACTGCCCAGCAACCCATGGAGAGTTCTACCAAGGCCCTTGACCTCCTCTCTTGTATGTGAAAAGTAACCCAAGGGAAACAAAACTGAATCTAATTCTGTAATAGCTGCATCTCCAAAATGGAGCACCTCAACTTTTTCAATATACCTCAGGAAGTTCCAAAAGAGTGGAGACAGAGTGACATTAGCCTCCCACTTCCTCTGACCTGAGTCAGCCTGTGCTGCTTCCATTCATAGAAGATCCAGTTTAGAGATGAAGTGATCTAAATATTTGTAACTAAAATCTACTGTAGGCCTGGCAGCAATGGTTTAGTCAGTTAAAGTAATTAGTCTTTCATTTCTGAAAACCTGGGCTCTACAATTGTTTAGATCACCAAGCTTCTTATTGTGTGGTGTGATCTTATCAACCTGTGAACATCTGGGCACATTGTGAATTTACCTGAGTGTAGCACCAGCTTTCAGCTACAGGTCCACTCGACATTTCTGCCGGAGGAGGAGGACTCGGCACCCTTGACATCGCCAGTTTGAAGATTAAACAGGATTTCACAAGTCAGCGAAAGAAATAGCTATGCTGTCTTCAACCTACCGAGCCCCCAAAAAGGAGAAAAGAGCAATTCCATTAGAATTTGCAGGACATTTTACTCAAGGATAAAAACAAAACAAGACGTGACGCCCATTCCTCTTTTAAACACCTTTAGATTAGAGATGTGAACGTGTCACCTTTTACACAATTAATCGATGAGCTTGGACTCATTGGTTAATCCTAACTGTTACATGCAGGCCCCTCTCCCCCCACCCACTGCCTAACCAGTGCACACAGAGCTGGCTTTTCCAGCTCCCCACACACACAGCTCCCACAGAGCCACATGCTCCACCACTGCCACTAATACAGCGAGGGGGGGTGTTAGGTGGGAGCCAGTATGCATGGGGTGCCACCTTCCACACAGCTGCCTCACCCTCGCTGCTGCCTCCCTCAGAGACAGCAGCGCGGCGTGAAGGAACTGGTGGAAGCCAGAGTGCATGGGAAGCCCACTACATTGACAGTGTGACTACACCTTGAGCAAACATGCCAGCACTAGTACTATTAAAATAGCAATGTGGATGCACTGGCAACAGCTTCATACCCAGGGTCCTTGGCTTGCTTGTATAGCCCACGTTGAAGTCTGTGCCAGCATATCTACACCGCTATTTTTAACAGCATAGCTATGGGAAAAGCTAGCACAGGGATGTCTACCCAAGCTGTAATTACACTTCTGACTGCAGTATAGACATCGGATCACAAAGAAGGAAATTAGAGACAAAGACCATATTCACTTCTCCTTTCAATATACGAACACTTAATGGGAACAAACCCAGAATACAGAACCCTAACCCCAAATCAAACTAGGGCACTCCCTACTTGACTTGCTTTTATTATTGTTCTTCTCAGGTCTTTGATGAAGGTCCCTGACATTTACGCATTTTGATTTTGGCACATTCCTAAACTGTTATACAGCAATCTCAGAAGAATATACACAAGCTAGTACACAGCCCAAACTTATTCCAATTGTGGGGCTTGGCTTTACTGGTTGCTGAGAGGGATGTGAAGGACTAGTTGACTATCCAATAAGCAAATGCTTATCAAATAGTCGACAAGCTTGTCAACTAGTCGCTCCCCGACTTTGCTGCCTCTATCATAAAAAGGCAGCAAGGTGTGGGGGAAGAAGGAAGTACTTCAAAGCAGCAGTGCTGCATGGAGTAGGGATGTAATAGTGTAGTCAATAGATAAGCAAAAGCTTATAGCTTAATGCTATAGACTACACGCATTCCTCCCCTCCCTTGCCAGTTCTTTTTTAGCAGGCTGGCCAGCAGCCTGGCTCAATCCCTGCTTGCGCTGGGGTCCAGGACCTACCCCCACTGTGCCTCTGATACAGAAGCAGCAGCACAGAGTGGCAGGGGCTCTTCAGGGGTGGGGAGAGAGCACACTGGCTGCTGGTTCCACACCAGGTTACTATAGAATAGTTGAGTAACCGATAAGAATTCATGAGGTTACTCGACTGTTCAATTAACCGATATTTCACATCCCTAGCATAGAGTCTGGGGCCAGATCCTAGGCTCCACGTGGTGCTGCTGCTTTGAAATGCCACTGCGGGAGCTCGAGCTCCTGCAGCATTTCAAAGCAGCAGTGCCGCATGGAGCCCGGGGTCAGTGGGGAGTCACCAGCTGACCCTGAGCTTCACGTGCAGTGCCGCATGGAGCCCGGGGTCAGTGGGGAGTCCCCAGCTGACCCTGAGCTTCACGTGACACTTTCGCCTTTAAAGTGTAGCAACAGCCCTAGGGCTGTTTCTACAATTCAAAGGCAGAGACGCCCTATCGACTAGTTGAATAGTCAATTACCCGCAATTTAACATCCCCAGATCTTATTGTTTCTGGTATTAAAAATAAAACATTGAAATGCACGTACTATTGGAAATCCTTATGAGATAAAGTTTTGGTGCCCTTTTTTAAAAAACGAACCCTCCCAACTAACTAGGGTCCCCCAGCATCAGGCTCCTCCTGGCATTTCAAAGCGTCAGCGCTGCGTGGAACTAGGGATCAACTGGGGAGTTCCCAGTTGATTCTGGGCTCTGAGAGATGCTGCTGCTTTGAAATGTTCCGGGAGCCCGGGCTCCTGCAGCAGTGTTTCAAAGCAGCAGTGCTGTGTGGAACCCAGGGTCTGGCCCTAGGCTCCACACAGCGATACCACTTTGAAGTACACCCTTCTTCCCCTGCTTTGCTGCCTCTTTCTGATAGAGGCAGCAAAGGGGGGTGAGGAGTGACTAGTCAACAAGCTTATGACGATCCAATAAGCATTTGCTTATCGATAGTCGACTAGTCGTTCACATCTCTAGTAAGATCTAATTTCAATCTCTGAATGAAAGCTATTCTGAAAAATTATGAGAGGAGTGGTAGTGAAATTACAGGGGTCCTTATGCTTATTAAAAAACAGGAAGTTATACAACTATCAAGTAGTTTAAAGAAAAAGGATGGAGGTAATAGTGACTGGACAATTGTTATTGAATGTTCACAAGGGGTGGGGGTGGGAAATGTTACAAGGACTTGCTTTGCAAGGATCTATAAACTTCTAGGTGGTGGTCAGAACTGTGGTTTCATATGCCCTATTTAAAGCTGGCTTTATTTTTCTGTCTTCATATTGCTGAAATGACGATGTGGTTTTCTCATTCTAATTGTAGTAAATATGGAAAATACTGGCAGCAGGCATGAGACTACCTGACAACTTTTTGATGGATCTTCCCCGGCTGCAGCTCTGCAAACCTGCTTGAGACTGCAAGTAGGGCAGCACTGGGAAGAGGAGCCAAAGGAGATGCTGAAGATCAAAGGGATGCTCAATACCTCCCGGTGCTGCATCCTGCTCTTGCACTTGGACCCTGGGTTTGGCAAATCCCAGCAGCCCTTGAAGGAAAAGCTGGGATATGCCGTCCTTGGGATGCACCCCACCAAACCTCACTGCCCCCTTTCTCACAGTCACTCTTTCTAGCTGCAGGCACATCTGCAGGGCTGCAGCCAGGGAAGGAAGCGCTGGGACATGTCAATCACTAGCAACAGGCAAGTCTGCACGACTCTATACAAGGAAAGTATGCGCTAGCACTTCCTTCACCAGCTGCAGCCATGTGCACCTGTCCTCCACTTACCCGCAACGCTCAGACAGAATATAAACTATTTTGCTGGTTAACAACTAACAGATTGTTAAAAAGTGCATTCTACTGCACTCAACAACACACTTTTGCAATGTAAAATATAAACACTATCAAGTGCTGTTAAATAAAAAAAACTTAAAGGGGGACTGACTATTCCTCATTTTAAGAAGTGCAGAAAGTTAACTTCTTCTGGATAAAATGTACCATAGAAAAACCATTTACTAAAGGGGATGAGCAAAACCCGGACATGTTTGATGAGCCTCATGTGAGACATGTTTACTGTCACTTGTAATCAGAGGCAACCAACATAATAATTTAAGTCCCTATTCCAAGCTTCCAGCAGCTCTTCAACATTTGTTGCATTCAGTAGTAGTGTATGCCACATTTGACATCCAAAATGAGACAAAAATCAGTGATTTACTACTAAAAACCCAACCACCAAATGAAAGGCAAATGACTTGGACATAAGGAAGTTACAATTTTTTAAAAACGTCAACAGCATCATCCTCAGTGTAGAACAAAATGAGCAATTTAAATAAAGCACTTTTGTCCAAAACTCATTCCTCTGGGAAGATTTAAATTTGCAGGTCCACTGACCGATTTTGAAAGTGAATTAATAAAAGAAACAGCATGCTTGTTAACACAAGATAATTGATCAAAAACAGCTACAGCGATTTTTATAGGAGAATTTATATTCTTTGCAATAGTATTGATTATGTGCAAAACCCACAAAGAAAGGTATAGTAAAAATCTTAAATTGATTGCATAGTGAAAATAAACTCTGTGCTTCTGGTTTGTACAGTATCCAGCATAATAGGCACCCATTTTTTCCTTAGGCACTAATATAATAACCATTATTAATAATAATTGCAATAAACCTAATCTTCAGGCTTATGCATGCTTGGCATTATTTAGTCTTTATTTTCTCAACACGCCTAACAGTCCTACAGCATGCTGTGAATGTTCAAATTGTGTAACTGACATCAGCTGGAAAAAGGAGGACTGATGTCCCTGCTTTCTTGTGACATTCAAAGGAATTCTCATGAAGATGGAGTCTATTTAACAGCCATAAGTATGCTGCAATGTGCATTGACAATGTGGACCACTTAGATTAAAACATAGCATTTCTCACACAAGCAGCAATTCCATGGAGAGGTTCTACATTTGAAAGAGCAACTGAAACTAGTTTTGGAGGGATCAGATAGTAGTGTCATCAGCCTGTGATCTACCTGAGTCTCAGCAGAAGTCTTGCTTGATTTTATAAAAACTAGAACCACAGAAGGATAAAAATATAAAAAGCAATTAAAATGAACTATGGAGATCTGTTACTTGGCCAATGAGAGTGATCCTCAATACAGTAGAACCTCAGCATTATAAACAACCTCAATTCCTGAGGTGTTTAACTGAAACACTCATAATTCTAAACAAAATGTCATGGTTGCTCTTTCAAAAGTTTACAACTGAAATTGCCGTAGTAAAGTTTCAAAGCTGTATTATGCATAAGAAAAAGTCACTTTCATTTAAATTAAATTAAATAAGCATAAAAACAGTTATTACACTGTCAAATCTTTTAAGATCCCCCCCCTTTTTTCAGTAGTCTATGTTTTGCACAGTACTGTACTTGTTTACAGGAGGTCCCCAATTTACAAACAGGTTATGTTTCAAAAGTTTATTTTGCTTGGAACTCAGAACACATTTTCCCATAGAAACAATGTCATAAATGGTAGTAAGGTTCCCAGGCTAGTCCACAAATGCCTATTTAACTCATAATGTAGCTGAAATACTGTATATCTGCAATGAAAATTAGTAGAAATAGTTTATTTAATCTTGAATGCTGTTGCTTGAGGAAAGGCAAGTTTAATTAGAGCAAGATGAGGCAGGGGGAGATTCTGAAGGGGACTTCTG